TTTTAATATCAGATGATGAAGAGGAGTTTGAAGGCTTTTAAGGTGAAACTGTCACGCCAGCAAACTTGCTAGGGACTTGCCCGGCACTTGCTCTCCCTCTATTTGTTATCTTACTTCTATCATTGACAGTCCCTCTAGGTTGTGGGCTGCTTGCCTGTGTTCCTGAGAAGCATCTACGGTACCAGTCTATAGAGTGTGTTTTCTTTAGTGAATTACCGGTATGTTTACCGGTAATAAACTTGCACTGTTTTATGTATATGTTTGATTACATACAGCCTTGTGACAGTTTTCCTGCATGTCATAAGCATTTGAATATAAATTAAAATGTTAAAATCAAATCTGATATTGTTTTACCTTTTATTTGGTGTGTGGAAGGTGTGCGGAAGAGGGGGTAGTCTTATACGGCGAGTATATAACAAACTCTGTATTTTGAGTGGAAATGTTAGGGGGTCGTCTTATACGCCCAGTCGTCTTATACGCCGGCAAATACGGTACTACTATCTTCAATGCTTACCATTGTTATAAACAGGGTTAAGGTCTTAATGACTTTCATAACTTGAGCAATATCTTACTACATACTTTCACATACACTATCTCATTGAACCTTGTAATCAACCTAGGAGTCAGATAAAGTTGAGATTAATATCTCCATTTTACAAATGAGGAAACTGCTCAAGGTCATACAGCTTGTAAGTGGTAGGGCAAAAACTTGAACTTTAATTTCACGAGTATAAATATTTTCCACTGAATCATAGAATTAGGGAAATTCTTAGAAACATTTCAAAAGTTTAAAATGACCATAATTAATATAAAAAATTGCAAACCAGACCACAAAATCAATGTCTTCGTATTTCACAGGACTTACATAAAAATGTTTGAAAATTAATTTTTCCATTTATTAACTGAGGCAACATTCTGATTAATTTTAGCACTGATGACAGCACCATTTCCTTCTCAGGTCCTAGGTTACACTAGACAGGAAAATGAACAAGTCAGGGGCAGCACATAAAGAGGTGCCAACTCTCTAATTACCACTTCTCTTTGGAAATCTCAGTCAGATTCTACCCACTGCCTATTGGTGGTACAAGGCACTTCTACAATTGATTCTAGAAATCTTTCTTCAAAAAACTTACACAGCACAAATAATCCGACTCATCAAGGAAAGGTGAAGTAACCTCCAGTCCAGATCTTAAACAGTGAATCGATCCCTGTGCATTGCCATCCCACAGGCTCAACAGTCTAAGCAAGAGGGTCTTGTTATATGAGACCTAGTTTCTAATCTTTGCCCTCTTGATGACTCTTTGGGGCATATGCAAGTTATTTATCCCCCCAATTTAAGTTCCTCAATAGATCATAGAAGAAAAAAATACTTTACTCTCCAAAACTATTTGGAAGCCTGGTTAAGTTGAAGTGAACACTTTGCTTTATAATGTACCAGAGGCCCGGTGCACAAAATTCGTGCATGGTGGTGGTGGGGGGTGGGGGGCCTCAGCCTGGCCTGCTCCCTCTCGCATTCCAGGACCCCTCGGGAGATGTTCAACTGATGGTTTAGGCCCGATCCCGCAGGAATCCCTGTGGGATTGGACCTAAACTGGCAGTTGGACATCCCCCTTGCAATCCGGGACTGCTGGCTCCTAACCTCTCACCTGCCTGCCTGCCTGATCGCCCCTAACCACTCGCCTGCCTGCCTGATCGCCCCTAACTGCTCGCCTGACTGCCTGAGACAAATTGGCTAGGGCACAGCAAGAACTTTTATACATAATGTCCAGAATAGGCAAATCCATAGAAACAGAATATAGATTAGTGCTTGCCAGGAGTTGGGTATAGAGGGAAATGGGAGTGTCTGCTAATTGAGATGGACTTTCTTTTTAAGGTGATGAGAATGTTCTGGAATTAGATTATGCTGGTGGTTGCACAATCTTGTGAATAGACTAAAAAACACTGAATTGTGTATTTAAAAGGGTGAATTTTGTGGTATTATATAAAATTATACCTCAATAAAAGAATACACAGACTAATAAAAAGAGTTGAAGATAGCAGCACATCAGAAGGATTTAAGAAAATTTTGGCCCTAACTGGTGTGGCTCAGTAGATAGAGCATCGGCCTGCAGGCTGAAGGGTCCCAGGTTCGATTCCGGTCAAGGGCATGTACCTTGGTTGTGGGCATATCCCCAATAGGGGGTGTGCAGGAGGCAGCTGATCGATGTTTCTCTCTCATTGATGTTTCTAACTCTCTATCCCTCTCCCTTCCTCTCTGTAAAAAAAAAAAAAAATCAATAAAATATATTTTTAAAAAGAAGAAGAAGAAGAAGAAGAAAATTTTGGCATGACTGGTATTGCTCAGTGGTTGAGCATCAGCCCAGGTACCAAGAGGTCACAGGTTTGATTCCTTGACAAGGCACATGCCCAGGTTGCAGGCTTGATCCCCAGGACGGTATGTGCGGGTATATTCATGCTTTGCCTACAAATAAAGACAAGCAGCCACCAACAATACACCTCACCTTGAGTGGGAGAGACATCTTCACTGTACATTCTAAGTGTGGCAGATTATTGTTTGCATCCCTCAAAATCTATGCTCCTTTTCTTCTTGCATACATGATGGTATTATTGGATTCAATCCCCAGGGTCCTTTGCAATTTGCAGGGGCCTTATATTAAGTTCTCACTAATGAAATGTGAGTATAAGTGATGTTTACAAATTTTGCCTAATTGCTTAAAAGGTGTTTGCCCTGGATTCACTCCTCTTTTCCCTTTTTACTGGCTGGAAATGCCTACAACTGAGGCACCCACAGAAAACATGCCCAGTTAGCCTGAAATCCTATACTTCCTAGAGCAGATCCTACCTCCTATATCCTGGACTTAGGTTAAATTAGGGAAAAGTAAATTTCTTTCTTATATTAGCCATTTCTGGGGGGTTGAGAGGAGGTATTTTTATAACGGCAGCTCAGCCATCACATTCTCTTTCGGGAATTCAGCTTCATCCAAGCCACCCCTCACAACAGGGCATCATTCCTACGGGCCTTCTGGAGATGCTTCCGAACTGTGGGCAAAAATGGCAGTAAGTCTTCCCAAATTTTTTCTTGCCTTCTTTTCTTCCTACCAAACTTTTATCTTTCTTTTATTCCTATAAATATTGGTTGGGCCCTAGCTGGTTTGGCTCAGTAGATAGAGCGTTGGCCTGCGAACTGAAGGGTTCCAGGTTCGATTCCGGTCAAGGGCACATGCCCAGGTTGTGGGCTTGATTGTACAGAGTGCCTGGGAAAGCACCTGAGCAAAGGTCGTCAGCTGAATCCAGCAGTGTTGGCAGAGCCATGTCCTGGAAACATACCTCGCCAAAGGCAGGAATGTTGTCAATCCTGACCACCCACACCCCACCCAGCCCCCCCCCCCCCCACCAGTACATAAATCCATGCACCGGGCCTCTAGTATGATAATAAACCGTTCATAATGTGAGACAAATCAACCACTTCTTTTCCTTAAAGTTTGTTTCTCCTTTAGAACTATAAGATCAAAAATAAATATTTACTGGAAGAGCAAAGGTCAAAACAGTCCCTATGTCTAGACATGGCAAGAAAGATTAGCAAGACTCCAGTGGCTATTTGTAGGCAACCTTGAGGAGAAAAAAGGCTCGGCCATATCCCCCGAAGAACTAACCCATTTTCTTCTAAGTATCTATTCACCATTCTCTACCATGCCAACCCTTGAAGACAAGGCCAAAGACTGACTGCACTGCACATGTAAGACTTTATAAGTTAATCATGCATCTAAACATCAGGTTTGGTGGTTTACAGACTATCTAAAAAGATAATCAATTTTAGGTCTCATTAAATAATTTACTTTAAAATACTTGACGTTAATTAATTCATCCTCTCAACCCGTGAGGTAGCTTTTATCAACTCCATTTGTTGGGAAATTTGATCAAGGAGAATAATAACAGTTTTATCTATTTACAAAATACCTTTCTTATAAAGAATGCTACATGCTTATCTTTTCAATCTTCTAACATTCCTGTGAGGTAGGTGGCAATAATACCGTGTCCTTTCTTAAAGGTGAAATGCTATGGACAAGGAGCTTAATGACTTACTCACATGGTAACTTGTATTTTATCCAGTAACTAGAACATACTGCTTGGCATTAACACTGCACCATGGACTCAAGTCTCAACTGCACACACTCCTAGAGTGTCTAAGCTTCTACTTTCCTCTACAGCCATATTTCAAAGCATCACATTCTGAAAAGGATTGAGATCATGCTTGTTTTTTAAGCTCATGTGCTCACTGTTGATATCAAGTTTTTATCGTTTTTCTAAATTGGACTATTTAAGTTTTGTCTAGATGCCTGAAAGCTAAATTATTTTTTGTTTACTGTCTGTGCACTAGCATTGTAAGTGATGTCATCAGGAACGTACAAAACTCTTAGACAAAGCTGTAGAGCCAATAAAAGCAAAGCAAATCACTTGAGGAAGAGTGCATTTCTTCTTCTTCTTCTTCTCCTCTTTTTTTTTTTTTTTGAAGTAGGCATCACACAAAAACGTGACTCATTAAACCCAAAAGAGTTGACTATGCCAATAAGGGCTTCTTATGCAGCCTTCCACAAAGAGGCCTGAGTGGCAGCATGAGGCCTTCTCTTCTATGCATTTTCCTCCAGGCAGAATGTGCATTTGTGTGGCTACATACACAATTATAATCTCTCCTGAAAGGCAATTCCTTCCATATGACAGGCTGAGCACTGGCCTGAGTGCTAGCCTCATGTTGCCTGTGCAGTTAACATGCTGAAATACCAGACACATTTAATCTCTCCTTTCTCAAAAAAACAACAACACAAAACTAAGATGGGACAGAAGAATTGAAGCTGTAAAGAACTGCACATAGAGAGAAAAGGAGGCCAGCCCAAGTGCCCAAACTCACTTTCTCAATGGGCTGAGCTTCTTTGTGTGTTGCCTACTTACGTGTCAATTTGCAGGACTTTGGGGCATGAGAACCATAGAGCAGAGTGGTTCTGGCAGCCTGTCCGAGAAGCAAAGCCAAAGACATGTGGCCTTTAGTCATATTCAAAGTGTTATTGTTTCAAACATGCCTATTTTAAAATACATAATTTTCCCATTTTGTGCATGCTGTATGTAAGTTGGCCACAGGAGTTCTGCCACATGATTGTGAAAGAGAGAGAGAGAGAGGGCAATGGCCCAAATGCAGCCCTATCCCTGCCACACACCTCTGTTTACCGGTACTGGGGACCAGTGGGGCTACCCCAGGTGAGAGAATTCTGAATTTAACAAACACCTGATATGAAGGCCTGGGGTACAAACAGATTTCTGCCTGAGATTACAGAAACTGAAGCTTGTGTTTTATCACAATTACTTGTAATCTCAGAGCAAGACCTTGAGCTACACAATAATAGGACAGCTGGGAAAAAGCTCTTACTCTCTCCAAAGAATAGTGCTTTAAAAAGCTAATTCAATGAAGAAAAAGAAAGGGCCCTGAAAGTGCCCTCTCAAACAATATTTACTTTTAGAGGGTTCCTGCTAATCAAACAAAACTTAGTCAAAAGCTTTTGTGAAAAATACACTTGATGATTTCAGCAATAATTGCTTTGTTTAAAGAAAGGTGCTTAAAAGAAAACATAGCTAATGGGATCAGTAATTTGGTTAATTCAGATGTGTTTGGGAAAATCCCTCATCTCTCTGAAAATTCATTAAAATTCTGCTCAGATAAATGTGTTTTGACTTGAAATTCCAATCATAGAATGAGCTATTTCCTATGGTCCCTAGGGAAGTAGTGCAAGGGTGACCCCGACACAGAGGACCCAGGGATTAGTTTATCAGGGTAATTCCTGTCTTAAAGCATATGACTCTGCCCAACTAAAGGACAGGATCTCATGGAGATGCCCCAAAATTGTATAAAATTTCCCTCCTTCTTAAAATGACATTTTTAAAAAATGGAATAAATCTCACTGTTGTGTAACAAAACATAGAAACTATGGTATCAATCAAGAAACTAACATTAGATATAATCAGAGCTTAAAACCAGAAGGATCCAGGGAAAATTTTAATCAGTCATCCCTTTTTTTTCATCCATGGACAGGGGAAAAAAAAATCCTAATGTCTCTCACATGACAGAACGATATTCCATTCTCCCAGTTTTAAAAAAAAATGTTTTTTTATTCTACTTACAGTAGACCATTCATTTAACTTGGGCAGAGCATTGTACTAGATTTTGGAGATAAGCTGCCCTCATGTCTTCCTGTTCTATTAGAAACCAACAATAACCAAGTATATGAATAGATAACGTAACTGTGATAACTGCTAAAAAGGACAGAAACAGGCCAGCACCGGTTTGGCTCAGTGGATAGAGCATCAGCCTGCGGACTGAAAGGTCCCAGGTTCGATTCCGGTCAAGGGCATGTACCTTGGTTGCGGGCACATCCCCAGTGGGACATGTGCAGGAGGCAGCTGATCGATGTTTCTCTCTCATCGATGTTTCTAACTCTCTATCCCTCTCCCTTTCTCTCTGTAAAAAATCAATAAAATATATTAAAAAAAAAAAAGGACAGAAACAGGAGGATGAACTAGAAATAAGCTAATGGATCATCTGTCTCTTCTGATCTACTATTATTACTTTTTAAAACTTTAATTACCTACTCAGCCTCCTAAGATTACTCAATCCGCAAACATGGTATTTGTGATCCCCAACTTTTGGACAGCATTTGGAGGAAAGATTCTAATTTACTTGTATGTATAAATGATAAGCAAGGTCAAAACTTTACATAACTATTTTGAAACACTAGAATAACCTTGAAGTAGCCTGCAATTTAGTTACCTTGGAGAAATGGGAATAGGTGAGGATTGGGAACAACATGCCTTAGAACTCACTTGCTCTTTTTCCCCCCAAACAAAAGGATATTACATTTATTAAATAGCTTACAGACTCCTTGAAAAGGCGGAAGAAACAGTCTGGGTTGAACTTCCAGGAACAACTCCCAAAGGCACATCCCAGAAGTAGACCACCAGGGAACTGCTGTCCCTGCCATGACTGAAAAAGCTGCTGACCAAACTGGGAAAGCACCAACACAGCTGCATGCAGACAGCTCACCCACTCTACAACAGCACTTACTACACTGTCACTCTGTGTTACAGTTTCTGAATATGTTCCATCTCCCATCCATGGTATAAGTTGCCTAGTGGGGGAGGGACATTTACATTCATTCCTTGCATTATATAGAAAGAGCATGAAGAAGGAAAGGAGGGAGAAATGGAGGGAGGGAAGAAGGGTAGGAGAAGGGAGGGAGGAGGGAGGGAGAGAGGGAGGGAAAGGAAGGAAAGGAAGAAGAGGGACAGATGATTTTGTGAATATGTTCATTACTTTTTAAAGTGCCCTAATTTCCAAATATTTAGGAAGTCAGTGTAATAGCTATAATAATATCTTATTTCATTTCCTTTTTGCAATAACCCAAGCACTTTAAAGCCCTAAGAGTATTTCTGCTAACTTATTATAAACAGCACTGTTTCCTAGCATAAGGTTGGATTTGGAAAGTCCCCTAATTATACTCAAACAAAATAAATGTGCTTCTCAGGATTCATCCAAAAGCAAAAAAAAAAAAAAAAAAGGTGTCTGGCAGTAACACAAGTAAATATCATATGCATGCATATCAGCAAATACAAAAAAAATAAGATTGGTAACACTTAAGTCTTCCACATGGAAAGAATCACATATCAGAACTTCTGCCAAGACTTGAAGAAACTGTATTGACCTCATGGCAGGAAGGGACTGTATCAGTGACGGTTGGATGTTGTCTTAGTCCAGGTATTCTGAGAAGCAGACACCAAGACAGGTTCAGACTTGCAAGAGGTAAACTAGGGGAAATGTCCACGGGGAAACTGTGGAGAAAGCCGGAGGAAGCTGGGAGAACTGACAGAACACAATGCAGGTTTGACCCCAGGATGGGGGAGGGGCGGGGGGGAGCATGAAGATAGAGAAAGAAATGAACTGCAGTGCAGTGCGAGTCTTCAAGCCAAAGTCACCATTGAAAGAGTCACCCATCTCCTAGAAATGTCTCTCTCCAACCCACTCATTGGCTGGGAGTAGCACATGGGAAGTGTGACTTCAGTGTGAACAAGGTGTTAGATTCAGAGCTGGGGTTGGGAGTCAATTACCCTCCCCAAAGAAAGAGATCATAGAGTGCTGGAAGCCGGTCCATCCTTGCTGCTTTGACACAGTCGCTGCAGGGAAGAAACATCTGAACAGCATATGTTTCAAGGGACCTAGCGTATATAGCATACTGTTCTTAATATGTTTGCTCCCCTTAGCGCTATGTGTTTTAACCAAGGTCACCTCTCCAAGAAAGGTTGTTTCCCCAGGTAGGGATTTTTCCCTGAAGTTAGGGAGGGGATAAAACCCCATAACTAAGTGCCAGGCGGGTAGTTAATCACTTTAACTACAAACAATCACACTTAAACTACATAATCTTTACTCCCTGGAATGGAGATAAGAAACGCCCTAACCTTTGCAATAGAAATTGACAGTATTAAAATCAACTGGTATAAATACAGGTGTAACAAGACAATAAACACCAGAACTTGGCTGGAGATCCTGACTAGAGATCCTGGCTAGGCTGCTTATCAACTGAACGCTGTCTCCATGTCATTCCTTCTTCGCCGACTCCGTCCACACTTTTGGGGACCCCTGGACCTGCTGGGGTTGGACCCCAACAATAGAGGCACATTTTCATGGTTGCCAATTACATATGTATTACATATTTTTATAATAGTAAAAATAATAGTAGCTAATATTTATTGAGCACCTACCCAGGTACTCTAAAAAGAAAAAACATCTTACTCATTTTGTACATCTTCTTTTCACAGTGTAGATCCAATACAGCAGCCAGGCATTGCTTTAAAAGTTTACATGTATGAGGTATGAGGTAAGTACTATTATTAGCTACATTTTGCAAATAAGAAAACTAAGGCACAGAGAGGCTGAGTAACTCTTAAAGGTCACACAGCTCAAAGTACATAGATTACTGTCAATAAAACTCTATCAAGTGGTTTCTTTCTAGAAGTTATCTTCCTCATTGTCTGCCTCGAGGACATGAATCCAGTAGCAAGAAACTGGAATTTTACTGTTCCCTGATCCATCCCGATTCCTAGGATGCCCCCTCCTGGCAGAAATGTTAAATTAAGCCCTTTAAGCCACAGAACTTACTCCAGGATCCATACATAAGTCTACTCAATAGTTGGAGCCTCATTTTTGGAGTTGCTCAGGTATTTATAATGTGGAGTTTAACAATGTGAACTCTGGAGTCAAACTGCTGGATTAGAATTATTCCTTCATGATTTTTTAACCAGTTATTTAGTATCTTTGTGGGGCAGTTTCCTCACCCGTGAAATGAAGATAACAATAGAAACTATCATTTTTTAAAAATATATTTTTATTGATTTCAGAGAGGAAGGGAGAGGGAGAAAGAGATAGTAACACCAATGATGAGAATCATTGATCAGCTGCCTCCTCCACGCCCCCTACTGGGGATTGAGCGTGTAACCCGGGCATGTGCCTTTGACCAGAATCAAACCTGGGGCCTTCAATCCCCAGGCTGACACTCTATCCACCAAGCCAAATCAGCTAGGGCATCAATTTACCATATATGTATGTATTAAGTGTCTACATTGTGAAAGGCAGGAAGGTATACAAGATGAGTAAGATACAATTCCTGTTTTCAGGAAACTTATTTGCAGCTAATAAACTGTTTAAGAGCTCCATCCTAAGAGGGAAGCAAGGATCATTGCCCTTTGCAGGCAAACATGTTTTGGTTTGTTTGTTTTTATCTTCAGAGTGGAGAGGAAAAAACAGGCTATGGAATCTAATAAACCTGAGTTTGAAAACCTGCTTTGCCATGCATCATCACCTATGTGACTTTGTACAGATCAATTAGCCTTCCTAAGCCTGTTTCCTTCTTTGTAAAATGAGGAGATATTAATAACTACAAAATGGGATTAATAATAAAACCTTCTAAG